GGATCGATTTGACCTCATTGCGATGTTATACGGAATTAAACACTTTGTACTATCGCGCCATTACTAATTACGATTAATTTCAATCCAAGAAAATCGCGAAGCATTGAATATTTAAATGCGAATGGTTCGTAGTCGTACGTTACCACGACACAAAATTCTTCAAGTATTCTCAGGTCTTTCTTTCCGAAACTCTACCTTCTCAGTTGCACAATAAATATTCCTAGCAAAGAACTTTATCAGCTTTTCTTTAAGACAGTCGTAAATATTACATTTTCTTTCAATTTTTACGAAAGTTTTTTTTGAAAGAATTCATATTTTATATCTAACAAAGAAATATCATAATCAAGATGGATAATCAGGTTTCCTGGTATACGGAAGTGTTCGCAGAGCATGTCTAGTTTAAAACTAAATTAAAACTAAAAGATATCTTCACGGAAAGAACGATTTTTCTAAAGTATCTACAAATTTAAGTAGATGCAGATCAGAAAATCATTTTGTTGGACCATCAAAATAATTTTGTAGAAAACTAGAGCATAACAAGCAATGTTGCAAAAAGTCGAGCAAACAACTTGAGTGTCCTACTTAATTATTTTTTGATAGATGAACAAAATTTATTTAAGATCTGTATCTAGCTAAATTTTTAAATACTTAAGGAAAACTTTGCAGTGTCACAATCGTTGGAGGTGGGAGAGGGAACTCGAAATGAAACGAAAGGTTCCGTAGGAAAAGGCTCCAACCGGTATCCCATCATTGAGTTACGGGTACAGGTGAAGTTGGGAGCGACGCGTAATCGACGACGCGTAAACCCGGCAGAGGAACCGTCCGTCCGACCGACCGACGCGGACTTGGATTCTTCTAAAAATAATACCCATCGCGCGCGCGCGCGCGCGCGCCTGAAGCCTGAACGAGAGAATGCGAACGCTGCTCCACTGCCGACCAAACATCATGCTGAATAAACGAAGGAACAAATGAATGCACATGAACCTTTCGAACCTTGCGGATAGAATTCAGAGACGAATTTATTATGCGAATTAGTTTCCTCGAGGTCAAAGTATCACGATAGTCTGCTTTTTTAGTAGGTTGCACTTTATTAAGTTGCCTGCATGCAAAATGAAATCAATATATATTCAAGCTTTGAATGGAAAACGAACAAAGGCAAACGTTGCGGAACGAGATGGAGTTGCGGTAAAAGTATAGTTGAAAATACAGATTTATTTGTAAATGTCTCTCGTTTCATGTGCAAAGAAGTATATCGGATTCTATGGCAATAAATCGGAAATAGAGGAAAGTGCACATGTAAGGAGAACAAAGAAAAAGAGGGAGGGAAGGAGGTAACCGAGAGAAATCTATTTATTGTAAGGGAAAAGATGTGAGTAAACACTGTTGCGCGCCTTAGGAATGTAAAACATGGGCAACTTGACTCAACCGTTATTTTTAAATGTAAATACTATGTCGACTGCTTTATCTGAATGAGCTCGCTTATCAGTCCGCAAACTTGTATATGTAAAGTAAGACGAAAACGTGCGACGATATCTCACGAGAGAAAAATGTATCTTAATGTGGCTTCTTCTTGTGTTACGTAAATCGTTTTAACCTGAAAATACACACACAAAACGGATATACTAAATCCGGATACGGTGGACTAACAATAAGTAATATACCTAATAATATTAAAATGAAAACTTTGACATTGTATTAATACAGTAAATAACATTTTCGTTAATTCATCTCTCTCTCCCCCCCTTTCTACAAAAATTTCTTTGCTCCAGAATTCCTTCTTATTTTAATATCTAACAAAAAAAACTCGTGAAGGAGAAAATGATAAATCAAAGCTCAGAAAAATTGGTAAAAGAATGAGGCTGAATTGAAATGAGAATAAATGAGTTTAAATTTGGAATAAGACTACATTTGTGAATTTAAAGTATGCTACATATGTCGGTTTATGCAATGATTTGCTAAAGTATCTAAATATTTAGCTACATACTAGTCTGAAAATAAATTTTGTTGACATATTAAAATAGTTATTAAGTAGGAATTTTAATTGAGATAACCGGAATTCTGATTGATACAGTCAGAATCTTCAGGTTCGTATATTTTTCTCAGTGTGGTTATTCAAAATTTTTTGCAGCATTATTCATTGCATCAAGCTCAAGTTTTTTTTTACATAATTATTATGATGGATGGATGGATCCAACAAAACTTTTTTCAGATCTGTAGCTACCTAAAATTTAGATACTTGAGCAAAATCTTTTTTTTCCGTGTGTAGTATGTACGTATGTGGAATCTACCATCGGGTTACGACAGGGTTACGAAGATCGCGAAAAATGTGTCAACCTACAAGTGCGTCGTCGAGCGATCGTGAGATTTCGCATGAAGACAGATACGCGGAAGCTGACGCGTGGCGTCGCACCGGAAGTCATTGCTATCCGTCGGTTTCGTGTCGGCGCGTATCGAGGGACAATAACGCAGTTATTCGAGGAGGGAGTCCAGGACTTTCTACGTAGATACAGTGGTCGAGAGTTTAGTATACCACGGCGAAGCACCGTTAGGACACTAAACTTTTATTGCGACCTGTTTTCCCTCACGTTGCTGGTACATAGAATAGATATCAGCATCACCTTAACCCGCGAGACCAACAACGGCACGCCGTTAATCGGAAACTCGAGAGAGACGCGGCTCCTCCGCCGTTTAATCACGATTTTTTACGATTAGAAGATTTTCGAATAAAGCGAAAAAGAAATGAGAAAGTCGCGGCAGATATTAACTTCGCAGAGTAATATGACTTCAGGAGAAAATAGCGTGTCTTTTCTTTTATTCAATTTTCTAATTTTACATTTTTAGAAGTTATGAAACTCGCGAATAGGATTACCCCATATTTGAATTACAAGATAATAGAGTACACATGTAAACACCTATGTTTTAAAAAAAGATAATCTTGAAGCGGAAGGAAGAAGTATAATTTTTTTATGCGTTAAATGTAGATGCTCTTAATATGAAATAAAATTTCTTGAATATAACATTCATTAAATTCCTACAACTAATATAATTTTATAAATATAAAATTTTAATTAAAATGACCAGAAGTTTTACAATCTCAAAAAGAGTACATGTACTTTTAAAAGAGTTTAGTAACTCTAATCACAAATTATGTTTGAAAGTAAACATTTAGCGATCAATCTATATTATTCCATGACTGTGAAAAAAGGAGAAAGAAATATTTAACGTGAAATGTAATTCTCAGAACACATTTGACATGCTCGCTCTAAAATATTAAGAAATTCTTTTTTTAATAAATGCTAGCACCGTCTAATACCCATTTCCAATGTAGATTAGAACTCTAATCTCGGTTCGGTTCAGATACTCTCTATCTTATTCTAAAGTTTTAAAAATTAGAAAAAGATGAAGAACTTATAGATTCAATCAGAGATTTACAGTTTATTAGCTACATTTAACATGGTCAGTTTTAGGTGATAATGTTTATCAAAAAAAAAAAAGAAATCTGTTGGTATTTTAGAGCCTATCTCAAATGTGTTTTTTTGAAGATAATATTTCACGTTAGATATTTCCTTTTTCCATTTCTAAGCCATAAAATGGCTTTTCTAGTAGTTTCTCGACTTTATATCGTATATATTAAATAATCTTCATTGGTGCGTAAACGAGCGTAAATCGTATGACACATGGAAAAAATGGTTTTGCTGATCTAAAAATTTAGTAAGATATATTTTGTTGAATTATCAAAACAATTATAGGTCATTCCTATCATTCCTCATCCTGAAATTCTATATAACTTTACCTTTTGCTTATCATGCTTGAGTTTTCTACGCAAATGTTCAGATCTATATCGTCAGTTAAATTTGAAGATATTTCAGCAAAATCATTCTTTCCGTGCATATTACCTAATACAATTCAAGATGTAAGCCCAAGATTACTTCATAGAGAACGTGAAGAAGTCAGTGTTATTCGATCGTATTCTCGGCATTGCAAAGGCACGCTATTGTTTATAGTTGGCAACGCGTTAATCAGCGAACGGCTGAAAACAGTGGGCGACGCGCTCGATATACGCGCGCGATGCACCAAAATAATCAGTCGTTCGGCCGACGGAAGCGTCGAAGAAGAGGACAAGTGAGAGAAACGGGAGAGACGGGAGAAAGAGAGACGAAAGATAGCAGGCATCTACGTTACCTATAAACACACGCGGAACACGCAGGGCAACACGCACACATAAGCGAAGAAGTGGAGAGAGAGAGAGGGGGGGGG